CTCATGGGAGTGGAAGAATGGACAAAACAAGCACTCTACACTACTCAAACACTAGACTACACCAAGATTGAAGTTGCGATTCACACCCAAGTGAAAAAACAACTGAAACATAGAGAGAGAAAAAAAAAAACACACATTTGAGTTGACACACACAAAGGGGAAAGTTGCGATTCACATGGGAGTGGAAGAATGGACAAAACAAGCATTCTACACTACTCAAACACTAGACTACACCAAGATTGAAGTTGCGATTCACACCCAAGTGAAAAAACAAGTGAAACATAGAGAGAGGGAGAAAAAAACACACATTTGAACTTACACACACAAGGAGGAAAATTGGGATTTACACTAGAGTGAAGATTGAGACTAACCAAACACTAATCAACACAAAAACATCAAGATAATGAAGGAGAAGGAAAAGAGGAAGAAGAGGGGGAAAAGGGAGAGGGAGAGGAAGATGAAGAAGAAGAAGAGGGAGAGGAAGTGAAGAAGAAGAAGGAGAAGAAAGGGAAGAAGAAGAAAAAGAAGGAGAAGAAAAGGAAAACGAAGAAGAAGAGGAGGAGGAAGAAGAAGAAGAAGAAGAAGAAGAAGAAGAAGATGAAGGAGAAGAAGGTGGTTCTCTCCACTCACCTCTTCTTGGTCTTGGAATTGATATCCCAACCTTTGATGAAGCTTCTCCTGACTTAGCTATGGCTTCCTTCTTCTCCAAGCCCTTTCCCTTCCTTTCTCTTCCCCTCCCAAGTTGCCACAAACTCCTATCACTATGGCTATGGAGTCCTCCCCTCCCCTCTAAGAGGGCTAATGGGACTCCTCTTAGCCTTGCCTTCCTCCACACTAGCCTGGGAGCTATGGCGGATCACCTCCCACACTACCACCAACCTCTAGAGTTATCCTCCCTAGCTCCTAGCTTCCTCTAGACTCTCAAACTGACAGGGGTTCCCCTCCACTCTCTCTAAGTGAGTGTAGAGCTCTCATGGGCTTATTCGGGCAGCATAGGAACTCTTCATGCAAATGTGAATGTGGCGGACTGAATCCCTAGCTTATGTAGGCTGGGAACAGCAGTCCGGCCAGCCCATGGGCCTCTCCATGTGCCCCATAGTGAACCGAGGTACCCCCTTGGCCAATTTTCACCACTAGGCCTCTCCGGGGGCACCTGGGCCTTTTTTTGGCCAGGTTCATGCAGTCCGAGTGGTTGATACCAACTCGGCCTACCCCTTGGGCCTTTTTCCAGCCTCACACCACTTGAAAAATGCTGCCCCCTTAGAGTCCAAGGTCCAAGGGGTAGCCTACTTGAGAAAAAAAGGCCTAATGGGTCTTTTTCTCATTTTTTTTCAAGTTTCCGCCTCCCTAGGGTAGGCCGGAGCATTTTTCCATGTGGCGGCACATTTTCAGCCTTGGATCGGGCTGAAATCCAAGATCCCCATTATTCCGAGCTACCCCATGGTGGTCCTTGCTTCAAATTTGAGCCCATAAGCTCAATTTTCCAATTTTTGGTGCATCTGGCTCTCTTTTTGAGCCAAATGCACAGTTTCGTTTTTTTCCCTCTTTTGTTTCTTTCCATTTTGGGCTGCCACCTCAATCCGGAGCTAGCCGTTTTGAGCTGGCCCACAAAAAACGGCTGTTTCTCCTCCACCAAGAGATCTGATCTCAGATCCATGGCCCAAAAGAAAACAGGTCTTTTTCTTTTTGCATTTTCTCTCATTTTGCCCTTTTTAATTCAGATATTGTTGAGATATGGCCCCAAGGGCCATATCTCTGCAATCCGGGATGCCCTCCTTGGATCTAGGAGGGGTGAGGTCATCATTGGGACCTGTCAGTCCCTACTGCAGCAGTCCCAATGGGCCGGCATATTTTCCTCCACTCATTTTTCCCGTTTTGTCTCATTCTCCCTCCATTTTCTCTCCTTTTTCTTTTCTTTTTCTTTTATTTTTGCTATGACAAGTGTCTAATAGCTGTGCACTATTTTTCTAGGCCTAGGATCCTCACCTGAGGCCAGATTCATGACCAGTTGTTGGCCGTTATACTTCGGATTACAATGATGACACCCCCAAGCTCCTAGGGGCTTCCATTTTGCCTCCTTTAGTCCGATTTTGAGCCCCCTTGGTTCCGATTTTCCACGGCCAGCCTTTTTCTTTCATGTAGCCCCTTGGGCTCTTATTTTTCGATGCCTAGCTAGTCCGAGATATCTCGGACTGCTGGGCAGCCCTCTCAACATTCATTTTTCTTTGTTTTTCGCTCCCGTTTCACCCGTTTGAGCCCCATTAGTGCTTTCACTAGTGGTGCCAATATTTTCCACCGTCGAGATCTTCGATCTTGCCGGTGCCATTTGCTTTGCACGTCCACTCCCTACATTGGCTAGTGGTTTTCCTTGGGCCCTCCGAGTCCCCGCCATTCCCCCATGCTAGTTCCATTTTTCCGTCCCGCCGTCGGCACCGTCGACAAAGCCCAGTTTTCAACAATTTTTATTTGACCCCATTCGGTCCCCGGCGTCATCCCGGTCGATGCCCAATTTTTATTTGGGACTCCCCATGTCCCCGACAGTCCCATTTCATCATTCCCATGTGCCTCAAGCATGCCGATTATTTTCCCGGCCGTGAGAACCCCGCCTTGCCGTCACCATTTGCCGTTATACTCCCCGCGACTCGTTTTCTCTTGGCCTAGACATCCTCATGCAGTCCGTTATTTCTCGGACTGCAGCCACAGCCAATTCTCTAGTCCCCCAGCCCCACAACATGCCCCAGGCTAAAAGAAAATGCAGCGTTAAATTTCTAAGTGCTTTTGGGCTCAATTTTGGCTCCCGGAGCACTCAAAGCATGTGTTTGTCCCTCCCTATGCTGTCCGTTGCAACTCAGACTGCAGTAGGGGCTGTTTTCTTTATCCTAGTGCCCCACAACTAGCCCCCAACTGAAAGAAAAAGAAGCGGCCAACTCTCAAGTGCATCCGGTCTCCATTTTGGCTCCCGGTGCACCTAAAACATGTGTTTGGCCTCCCCTAGGT